TAATCTTTCTGCACAGTTTCCCCTTCAACAATGCATACTTTCTCCATCTTCATGACACATTTTCCAGGGGAGCTGTTCAGTTTATTCAGAAGGAAAGTTCTGTTATGGTAACCGTCTATTATGCAACCAGATGTAATTTAGGAAGCAGTGATAGCCTTAGGCTATGGATCAGTGATGGTGATCATGTCTTATGACTGAAGAGGATCAAAAAAGTTGTCCAGGGCTTCCCTGGTGGCGCAGTGGTTGAGAGTCCACCTGCCGATGCAGGGGACACGGGTTCGTGCCCTGGTCCGGGAAGATCCCACATGCCGCGGAGCGGCTGGGCCCGTGCGCCATGACCGCTGAGCCTGCACGTCTGGAGCTTGTGCTCCGCAACGGGAGAGGCCACAACAGTGAGAGGCCCGCGTACCGCAAAAAAAAAACAAAAACAAAGAAGTTGTCCAGTCCTTCTTTTTGTGTTGAGAACTGAAACTATCGAAGAAAGAGTACCCAGGCTTATGGATTTCATGGGTGAGTTACTGAACAGCAGAGACATGCAGAGTTCCTCTTTCTTTACTCTGAAACCTGGGAGAATGAAAGGACTGCTGTTGACTCCCAACTTGGCCCCACTGCCTGCCCTTGATAGGGATGATGCTACTATGTCACACTTACTACCTTTTCTTAGATTGTTGTACTACACTGAGACCTGTAGTGATTTTCCAGTGCTGCATAACAAATTACCACAAATCTAGCAGCTTAAAACAGCACACAATTACTATGTCTGTTTCTGTGAATCAGGAGTCGAGGCACAACTTAGCCAGGGCTTCTGCTCAGCATCTCATATGGCTGAAATCAAGATATCAGGTGGACTGCATTCTCATCTGGAGGCTCAACTAGGGAAGGACCTGCATCCAAACTCCCTTCGGTTGTTGGTAGAATTCATTGCCTGCAGCTATAGAATTCATGGCAGCCTACTTCTTCAAATCTAGCAACAGTGAGAGTCTCTGATCTCTAGATGCTCTTTTAAAAGTCTCACCTAATTAGGTCAGGTCCATTCAGGATCATCACGCTTTTGATTAACTTAAAATCAACTGATTAGAGACTTTAATTGCATCTGCAGCATATCTTCACCTTTGCCATATTCCATTGGTTACAAATTACAGGTCCCCAGTCACACTCAAATGATGGGGATTATACAAAGGTATATAGGTCATGGCAGATCATCTTAGAACTCTGCCTACCATAAGACCCCAGTGAATTAAAATTCATCATTCAGTTCAAGTATGCATAAGAAGTTAATTGGGGGATTCAGACATTACTATTTACGAATTCTCATTCTCATGTATGTGGCCATTTTGTTAATTCTTGACTAGGTAAAATTAACCTTCAGTTAAGGGAAGGTATTTGGTTATCAAGAGGGAAGGAACAGGCTTAACTACCATGTGATAGATATACTACACCTACAGTCCTGTCCTGTCCTAAGCAAATAAAACATTAATTATGGATTATTGCTTACCTAGATAGTTTGCTTGAATTATTTTACTTCCTAGTTTACCCAGTATGATTCAGTTCACAAAAATGAATTCACACATATCTATTCAAGATTACAACTGTATAAAATGAATTACTCTTTTAAGAGTTGTCCCGAAAGTTGATCTGTCACACTCTTTCATATACCAGCACTACCAAAAGAAAAAAATAGGCAATGAAAACCTTCTATTAGGTGTAAACATTAGCGATCATCTTTTCAACATTTCTTATCACAGCAACATGCTGAAGAAAGACAATGTATCAAAAATGGGTAACAAGTAACCAGATTAATATTACTCTGTAAATAAAATGCATAACTAAATAAAAAGGTGAACAGGCTGGAAGAGATTAGCTAGAGATAAACAAGAATTAGTCTCTTTATTTTGTAGTATTTCTTACAAATTAATAAGAAATCCTGAAGTTTTAAATAAGTTGACTTCACGCTCATTAGGATGGCTATTATCCAAAAAAAAAAACCCACAAAATAACAAGTGTCAGTGAGGATGTAGGAAAATTGGAACCCATGTTCATAACAGCACTTTTTTACAGTAGTCAAAAGATGGAAACAACTCAAGTGTCCATCAGTGGATGAATGGATTAACAAAATGTAGTATATACAAACAATAGAATATTATTCAGCTTTAAAAAGAAGGGAAATTCTGACCCATGCTACAAAGTGGGCCTGGAAAATGCTAAGTGAAATAAGCCAGTCACAAAGGACGAATACTGTATGATGCCACTCACATGAGGTCCTTAGAGTAGTCAAATTCATAGAGATGGGAAAAGAATGGTGGTTGCAAGGGCGGGAGAGAATAGGAGTTAGTGTTCACTGGGTACAAAGTTTCAGTTTGGAAAGGAAAAAGTTCTAGAGATGGATGGTGGTGACGGTTGCAGAACAATGTGAATGTACTTAATGCCACAGAGCTGTGTACTTGATGATGGTGAAGATGATACATTCTATGTGATGGGTATCTTATCACAATAAAAACAATTTTTAAAGAAAAGATAAATGGGCAAAGGGGATGAACGTGTAGATCACAAAGGAGATGAACACGTAGATCACAAAATGGGAAATGTTACAAACATGCTGGCTTGGGGAGAGATTCTCAGCCTTGTTGGTAACCAAAGAAATGAAAATGTTTCAATTTCATCTAAAAGAAGTACCGTCTTTAGTCTAATGGGACAATGAATGTTACGTTTCATCTGACACACAAAGTCTGGATGATAATTACATTCAAAACATACTTCTTCCTCCCCTTTCCATATGACAGATTTAAGTCTTCAGTTAATATTTTTACACCAATGTTTTATACAAGATAGGTATTTAAACCATTCCTAAGACTCTCAGTATGCTAGTTCAGTTTTTTAAAAAGTAAAACATTGTTCTTGAGACCCAAGTTGAGACTCTGGTGTAAGGAAGGTGTAATATGGATTATGTTAAATGCAATTCTGAAGTGGTTTATTATATCAAAGAAAATGTTTGCTTGCAAAGACTGATTAGGTGATTTTCCCCCAATATATTCTAGAGTTTGTAATAACAAGAGTTGTAAACTCTGAGCCAGTTCTATCTCTGTGTCCTAAAACCGGTATAGATAGTCTCAGACTTACGAGGGTTTGACTTAAAATTTTTCGACTTTACAGTGGTGTGAAAGTGATACACTTTCAGTAGAAATCATATTTCCAATTTTGAACCCTGATCTTTTCCCAGGGTAGCAATATTCAGTGCCACACTCTCTCATGATGCTGGACAGTGTCAGTGAGCCTCAGCCCCCAGTCAGCCACGTGATCACGAGGGTAAAAAAACTATACACATACAACCATTCTGTACCCATACAAACATTCTGTTTTTCACTTTCAGTACAATAGTCAATAAATTACATGAGATATTCAACTCTTTATTATAAAAGAGACTTTGTGTTAGATGATGTTGCCCAACTGTAGGCTAATGTAAGTGTTCTGAGCATGTGCAAGGTAGTCTAGGCTAAGCTATGATATTTGGTAGGGTAGGTGTATTAAATGCATTTTTGACTTATATTTTCAATTTACGACGGGTTTACCAAGATGTAACCCCATTGTAAGTTGAGGAAGATCTTTATTTTTCTAATATAACAGAGCCCCTTCGAGTTACTGTTTCTAATAAGCCATGTGGCCACACACCTGCTTTATCATCTCTTTGTTATCTCATAGTTTCCACGAGTCATGATTATCTTTTGGCAGTTTAATGAACGCAATTGGAGTAAATCTTTTTGATGGTAACGAAATGTAGCTAACAATATATATCTTATTAATTGGTCAAACACTGTGAGCCAGCCATGGTATTAAGCATGTTTCTGTGATTTCATGTAATCCTCATATCCTTCTGAAACAAATGATATGCTTCTGATTTTATAGGTGAGAAAACTGAGTGGCAGATTTTTAATAACTCACTGCAAATTACACAACTCGTTGGCAGAGCTGAAATTCAAACCCAAGTCTATCCAACTGTAGATCTCTGGTCTTCCCATGACACTATGCTGCATCTAGGAGTATAACTATATTTCATTAGTATTAAAGTAATTTATAAGAATAAAAACTTAAACGTGACTTTGTAAAAACAGCCTGTTAAAAATCACAGCTCCCAAAATTCCATATTAATTCAGGAGCATTTTTTTAAAGTCAAAGTTGTTTAGCTCCCACAAACAAACTGTTGTACATTCCAAATAAAATGCTTCCTACTTCATGTCAAAAGTGCAGATTTACTTCCTGATAAGATGTACTATTTGGAGACTGTCTATTTTTTATTGTGATTCAGGTGCAAATAACAGGAAAGCATATTTTTTTCCTATCTTGGCAAAAGGGGAGGTATTTCTAAAAAGAATGTAATGTAATGATTTAAATGGCCATTATTTTGCATTGTGAATTAGGAGAAAACAGATTATAGCACTGGAGTCAAAGAAGTAACAATGGTCTACTGACTTCGACAGGAAAGTCCAGCCAGGGAATTTCCCAAAACTCTAAGCCATGAGGCGTGTCTGCAGGTCTTCAGAGACACTCAGTGCTCTTCCCTGACCAACAAAATGAAAAAATGGAAAACCGTAGATTTTTTTGAGAGACTTTCAGGCAAATGCCAACTCTGAAAATGAATTACTTTGCAAGAGTTTATAGTCATGTCTTTTAGGAAAAAAAAAAATCTAACATCAAAAGAGAAACAAAAATTCAAACTTGTCTTTGTAATTCTTAGACAACTAAACAATTAGTGATATGTATGTAATATGGATTTTAAACGGTTGTGAAAATGTAAGGAAAATATTTTTTAAAGATCCTATTTCCCTTAAAGAAATTCAATTATGAATTTTTCAAGTCGAAACGTTTTCAAAGTGTTTCCAAAAGGAATGTGAAAATTGGCAACAAACCCATTTGAATATGAAAGACAAGCACAGGCAGACACACAGAGAAACAATATCGTTTCACTCAAAGCGTTCTGAACTCTGTACTGCTTCTTCTGTTTGCAGAGCTCACACTTGTTTTAACCGTCTGGATCTCCCTCCGTACCCATCCTTCTCCATGCTTTATGAAAAACTCTTGACAGCAGTTGAAGAGACCAGTACCTTTGGACTTGAGTGACCTGGAGGCACAATGCCCCGCTCCGTGTAGACAGGCAATTCCAGAAGCTGCCCTCTAGAAGAATGGCTGAACATTGGAAGTTTCAAGAGTACACTTCCATTAGAGTAAAGCTGAGTGCTGTTATTTTCCAGGAACACGTGTTCTGCCACATTTGGGGACTGGATAGTGGTGATGAGTACTCTTGGAAGGATTTGGGTGAGCTTGATGCCCAGGGAACCACCCAACAATCTTTCAATCAACAGTTCTTGACTGCCAAACTTTTTTCCATTTGTTATGTTCCAAGATGAAGATGAACCTGTACACGATCAGCTCCATGATAACTTTTAGAGACTCAGGAGAATCTTGAAACTTACCTTTGAACATGATTCAAGCCAAACTGGCAGCGCTTGGCCCAATCTCCAAATTAGTGCAAGTTAAATAACATAATAAAAACAAATATATCTCCTGAAAATACATTCATTTAAGCCCTAAGTTATAGCAGAATATTCATTTTCTTGCTTATGAGTGCCTGCATGGTGTGCACCATAGGTTTCAGCTTTCATGGGACACAGTGAAAATGAAACCAAGTCAATATGAGGTAACCTTAAAGATTTGCAATAAGGTGGTCTGTGACAATGTATATGCAAAGTGGTATGTGTGTAATTATGGCCGAAGACAAACTGTTATTCAGTGAATTACTAATGACAGATTTTATGCTTTATAATGCATGAAAACAGTTTTAAAATAACTAGCAATTAATCACAGCATATCAGGAAAAAGTACACAGTGAGTTCTGTTTATTTTTTATAAGTTCATTATATTTATGTTCTCTAAGATGTATATAAGAACCTACCTATCATACTGTACGTATCATCTGTTCCATTTTCGTGTTCCATGCTTACTAGGGCATCATGCTAATATGTATCCTTTTAAGCACTCTCAAAGGGAACAAAAGGGCCTTTTATATTTATAAAGGTACAAAAAAATTCCCCAAAATATTTTGCACTGAATGTACCAAAGTTGAAGGGACATTACAATATGACTAACAGCAACTCCATCACTTGACAAGTATAATAGAAAATAGCTTCTAAATCAAACTTTCTTCACAGTGCCATGTCTACCACTACAAGGACTGTGCATCTAAGTAATAATTTTTTAAGATTCACTCTATGTGATAGTATGATATGCATTTATTTAAAATGCATTAGACTCTCTTCCATCCATCAAATACTTTTCAGGATGGCATTTAATACATATATTTCGTATTTCTCCCACTGCTTTTTATTTGTACAGCATCGTTAAACACTAAGCTCAGTTAGGGAGCCATCAGAAACACCCAAGAGATCAGCTCTCTTTAGTAATAAGAATTCCATTTCCCCTCACCAGTGAAGACATCACAAATTGAAACTCTCAGTACTATATTTCTAAGCCTGCATTTTCACTGATGGATAATTTTCTTATCAATATTAAGAAACAATTTTTCTATGATATCTCAGAAACTGCATGACATCACTAAAGTTATTTTTGCTTAGTTTATCAGAGGGTGTTCTTCATTTTTATTGCTTTGGGGTCATTCCACATCCTTGTTTATTTCTTGACTTAACGGTCGTAACTAATCAGGTGTTCAATAGAGTGAACTTAAATTGAGGGTAATAAAATCATTGGATTAAACATTTGGTTTGCCAGCCTATGGTATTACAGGCATTGCCCAAATACTTCTTCGAGAACTATATTTATAAGCAACCATGGAATTCCTATTATGGGGTGTTGGCAATCCTACATTTTATGGAGGTCAAATGCGTGGTTTTCATAGGTGGTTTGTAAGAACTGATTTCACTGTTGGTTAAGCTACATTTACTATTGGGACCCTCAGGAGGAATACCACTCATGTTGCATTCCTGCTCTAAAGGCAAGTACTGTGGTGTGGAGAAACGTTCTGGGGAAAAGGTTTCAGAAATCTGGAAATAAGAAGGAAAGATTTATCTGTGTACTATAATTGTATCAGAAAGAAAGAGAAAAAGATTTGAACTGGAAATGTTAGTTTGTACTTACTTATCATGAATATAAGTATATATTTAATCTTACAAACTATTTTTACTTGTATTTTTTTCATTATAAGGAAAAATAGTATAACATGCTTTTTTTTAAAAAAAAACACACATTTTTGATGGTATGTAAGATGTTTCAGAGCTGGCATTCTCTAAGCAGCTGATACAGAAGGTTGCATTTCTTTCAAAAATACTTTCATAGACCATGTCAGCTTGCATTTTGGTTTGTGACACTTTGTTACCATATTACACATTATTAGGTAAAAGAGATTTGAAATAAAATATCTCTCTTTAACTATTTTTAGCAAATATACTTCTTTGTTAAGGCATCCAGCTTCTTTCCAAATACCAGTATAATCGTCTAGCTGCTACCATTCTCAGAATTGGGAATTATCCAAGATGGACCTCTCACATCAGAACACCATGATAACTGATCTATTATTATTCATTAGTAAAAGAGTCCAATAATAACTATTTAAAATATTAAATAACATTTCCACAGAATAAATTAGACTTTAATATACTCTACAAATAGAAATATCTGTAAATATTTTCTTCTGGACTATGAACCTAGATAATTTGGCTGTCTGATCTTGTTTTCTTTAAGAAACTCATAAGTGATGCTTATACTATAAAAGACAGTCACGATACATCAAATATGTATGCAGAGCTTCTGTTAGGTGAGAGAAGAGGCCCACTATTGGCATTCACTCTGTGCCAGCCACTGTGTTTGATGATGGAGCTGCAAGATTCAAAAATCTGCCTCAAGAAGCTCACAGTCTAGTGGAGTAGACACCAAGGTTCAAAGAAAGTATTTTAAATAAAAGTTGGTATGTTCTACAGTCAAGGAATGAGGAGAGAATGGCTTGCTCCATCTGGGGGTTCCAGTGAAGGGTTCATACGTGGGAGATACTGTGGCTAAAAAAAAATCATATAAATGTTCTTGCTGTTGGTAACTAATGGCGTGTAACAGTGTGATGATACTGGTCAAGTGTGGAAGCCCAGTGTGTGTTTACACACAGAGTTTAAAGTGTGCAGGTGGGGAGCTGAACTGTGAAGGACCAACTCAAGGATCTTCAAATTACCCAAAAAATGCCAGAATTAAGTTCAGTAGTTTCCCTTCATCTGCACTACAGTGTACCTTTGGTTTTCAGTGTGAAAAATCCCAGTCCTTGAGCCCATCCACCACTGGGGTCAAAACTTTTTTCTTGTGCACAAAACGAATGGATCTTGGTCAAAGAAGTGCGGTCACAATTTTCTACCATATATTGTGTTTATAATTAAGTAGAAGTTCTGTAATAAATGAAGGAAAATTTGTTGTACTTGCTTAACAATCAGAAGTTTAAAAAAACCTGCATTCAAATGATTAACAGTAACGGTAGAATATGTTTGAACAGCGCTTTACTGTTGCTAAGCACTTTTAAGTGCTTAGTCTCTCTTGATCTTCACACTCTGTGGGGTAGAAGGTATCAGGCCCCATCTGGGTTGAGGCTGATTTTCACAGGTGGCTTGTGTGATCAATTTTAGTAGTTTACAGCTACAGTTCTAGGTTTCATCTCGAGAAATGTGGAGACTAATGTTTCTACCAAACTATTCCAATTTCAGTGAAGTTTACAAGCTGCTTTGTCTACCCAAACTCTCATTTTTTCAAACACTCTTAAAATGTGACACCTCTGAAAAGTCCATGAAGAAATTAGCATATTCATGGAAAACCTCCCCATATTCTTAATGTTTCCATTTTACTACTTGTTATGAGAAATTAAAAACAAACTACAAAGTTTGATTGCTTTTGGTGGATTTATATAGTATAGTAAGTTTAGTTTTCTCAAATATTATTTGGAAGCAAAGTAATGAAAAAACACTTTAATTAGAAGCCTGATTTTATTTTTTAATTTTGGACAAGGATGGATCTAGAAAACCCTGATAGCTGAGTTCCAGTGACGTGGATGAAGGAACTACTGCAGGTTCTCTTTTCCTCTCTGTCCTCCTCACATTCCTCCAACTTTTTTTTTTCTATCTGCACGAATTGTATTTATGACTTGACTACTTCTAAGGCAAACATCTGATAACGAATAGCCTTAAAGTCTTTCTTCCAATCCAACCCAATTCGGAAAATTCCCACTGAGGATGAAATGATGCTATACCATCATTACAAGATACCTATCACCCTGCATAGAAAAAAACGCAAATAAAGAACACGCTTCATCCTCAAACTGAATCTGACTTTCAGGCCCTTTTGTGCTCTCTTACCTTTTTTCTGATTTAATTGATGAATGAAAACACTCTAAATCTTAGACACCTTCTATAAAATTTGAGTTTAAATTAATGAGAATGTCACTTTCAGATAGATCCTAATTTTGCAAAAACTATTGCCTTTCTAGTTCGATTGTGTTTTCTAGATAGATTTGCTTTTCTAATATGGAAGCAAAGAAATGTCAGAGACGTCAAGCTTTCTGAATTGTGGCTTAAGGCCAACAACTTGCTGCCCACTAGAAAGATGATAGAAACAAAAATCAGAAAAGAGGAGCCCAGCAGTGGTGCCTCCCTCCCTCCCCGACCCCTGCCAAGAATGTAGTGCTAATTATTGACCAGCCTTCAAGATTCAGGAGTGGTAACTGCATTCCAAGGAGCTGGCACAAAGGATATACATAATGTGTGTGCACTACCCATATCAGAGCAGTCCACAGGACTGTAGCAGAGGGAAAGTTAAAACCAAGATGGAAGGATCATCTTAGGGCTTGCTGGTGGGTGTAGGAACATATACTTTGGTTTCTGACTTAGAGAAGAAGAATGCCATGCTGCCTAATGAGAGCACTGCTTGGTAATCTACCTGGTGGGAAATACCCTTATTTTATAACTTAAGTAGGTTGATAACATTTTATGTGTTGCAAAACAGAACTTAGCCCCAAAGTATTAAAGCTAACTGTAGCTCAATCAGGAGATTCAACAATTTAGCATTAAATTATGTTGTGGACTATTTTTAATTTAAGAATTATCATTACTATTACTGAACTTTGTATGGGAAAAATGAGAGAGGGTGTTGTTGCTTGACACATTTATTTTGCCTAATTTGTTTTTTAGCAGACATTCTTTGATGTTACAATCGTTTTTGAGACATTTTTCTTGGTTTCTAATGGTAACTTAAATGTTCACTGTTCATCTAAAAAGCAGAAACCTAAGAATTAGGTTACTGAATTGCAAATGGAGACCTAATAAGTGTTTCCAGTTTTTTGAGAAATTCATCAAGACTGAAATACATTTGCTTAGATTTAATCTGTTAGGTAGTTTATTGGGCTTTCATGATCGAACAGTTCAGCAGAATTGGAAGGGCCTACTTGTACGGTTTCTGGGGAACACAGGAAAATTAAATTTAAATATGTGATTTTTACATCTGGTGGCCTTGGGCAGGTGATATCTTTCTATCCAATTTTCTTTTAAGATATTACAGCCCTCAGGAGTGTTGATAGGTATAGTGTATGATTCAAACTGAATCAGCTATTACTGATGCAGGTAAGGAACCATTAGTAAACTCTTGGTTACTATCACCTTCTATAAAAAAAAGGATGGATAATGTTCAAGAAATACCTTGGAAGGACTAACCAAGAAACACACAAAATGAATGTTCTTTTAGGACCCTAATGCTCTAAAAGATGTTATTACAACCTATTTTTCTTTATATGATATCATAAGTAAAATGGAGGCTGGTATATGTTGGAAAGTGCATAAGATTACATGTTTTTATAATAGGGATGCAGGCATTCCAAAATAAATAAATAAAAATACATGCATCTCTCTTGCCTCTTACTGAAAGTATTAATCTAATTTTATAATAATGCTTAGTTTTTAATATTAAGGCTCTGTAAAAGAAAAACACATTTATTTCTAAGACGTAGAGCACGGGTCATGTATTTTTTTAAGCCTTCCAATTTCTTTTCACCAACTCCACCCATTGTGTCTATTACACCATGTCACAATTAATAGTTATGTTTCTATTTTTGTTGAGTTGATTTAAGCTTTATATTTATTCAATGTGACTTTTAATAGAGAATAATAATGGGAAGTATTTGCTATTGACACTGAAATTATACAGCTCTCATTTCACCTTATATTTCAATTTCATCTTTATTTTTTCCCCAAGCAAATAATACAGACTGTTGACATCCTAGAAATGAATCATGGGTGGTATTAAATGGAGCCTGGGACTCTGAAATGTAGACTTGTTGTTTGTTTTCTGTATTCTTATCCTAACCTGAACCCCTGACTTTTGTGTTGTATTTTTTTATGACTCTGAAATGCTTTGAGGGAAAGATATTTTAATGTGTACAATTTGTTTTATTTTCATACTGATCTCTATTTTTGTTTAAAACCATGTTGCATCATGAAATCACTTAATCCAAAATAAATCTTCTTTAAAAAAATAGATTATGATTTTTCTGTGATATATTTGGGGAGGAAAAAACTCAAGAGGGAAGAGAACAAAGTAGGGATAAAGGTCTCATGGGATTAGTATGCAGCTTTGTGTAGACAGGAAGTTCTCTTTTCATGATATTTATAAGTAGGAATCTATTTTGTTTATCCCTAAGAGATTATTTTACTATTTGATAGGCCATAAATTACTGTTAAAGAAATGATTTAACACAAATCATAATCTCTGAAGTCACATGGGTTGAGACTTTGTTAAACCATCTTGGTTGCATGCTTATTTCGTAACCACATATGCACACCACCACCACCACTACCACCCACATCAGTCTAATCGAGGGGTCACATATTCACAAGCCTGCAGGGGCCAAGTAGGTATTTAATGAATGAAGCTGGTTGGGTGTAAGCAACAGAGTGTGATGGGATTTACCTAAAGGAGGCGTTCTAATATTTTGCTCCAGCGGATTAGAGTCACATGAGATTCAGGTCAGTGTTGAAAGACTCAGGCCAGTGTTGGTTTAATAAGAGAAATCCAGAAATCTAAATTTTTATATGGCGTTTCTAGATCTCTTTAATACTGGGTGGATCAAAGCAAATATGTCTGTAGGTTGAATTTGCCTGCAGGTCCCCCAGTTTGGAACCCTTGATTTACTCAGTAATGTTACTTTATACTTGATTGGTAATATAAATGAACTGACCAAATAAATAAAATATTACTGTGATATGGCAGTTAATACGAAGAGATGGGGAAAGGAAAAAGGCAAATATATGCTGTAATGGCAGATAATCACTAAATGATGTACTTGAAAATGATCTGTGTTTGCCGGTATCTTTCTTTTTTTTTTAATAAATTTATTTTATTTATTTATTTTTGGATGCATTGGGTTTTCGTTGCTGAGCATGGGCTTTCTCTAGTTGCAGCGAGCAGGGGCTACTCTTTGCTGCGGTGCATGGGCTTCTCATTGCGGTGGCTTCTCTTATTGTGGAGCATGGGCTCTAGGTGCACGGGCTTCAGTAGTTGTGGCACGCGGGTTCAATAGTTGTGACTTGCAGGCTCTAGAGCGCAAGCAGACTCCGTCGTTGTGGCGCACAGGCTTAGTTGCTCTGCAGCATGTGGGATCTTCCCGGACCAGGGCTTGAATCCTTGTCCCCTGCATTGGCAGGCAGATTCTTAACCACTGTGCCATCAGGGAAACCCACCAGTATCATTCTGAAAATCAATTCATCGTGTTAGTTCATGTAAGTTGAGGATCCATGTCAAGATTTTGTGAAACAGATGTGCCATTAAGCTCTATTCTATATTTTAAACTAGAAATGAATTTCCTGTATCACATGAGAACAGTTAAGCAAAGACTCATCCTTTATAACTGACTAAAGTTTGACATTATTATTGAAAGAGAAGAGCAAGAGATTAATCTATGACACTGACTTCCTGGTTATTGTGTCATAATGTTCCCTGTGTAACCTTTGACCTCAGTGTGCTTTCGTTATGATAAATTTATCTACCTTCATTATATTGTTTTAATAAAACCTGAAACCTACTTAGTGAATGTTTTAAGAATGCATAATTCCCACCATCCTGCTAATTGCCCCCAGGAAGTCTTTCTTGATGTTTTTTTATTTAACCCTTTAACCAGAAAGCATTTAACCCCTTTACCAAGGAATGGAAAAGTGTTTTTCTTCATACCTTCCACTTTTGCTTGATCAAAAAACTTTATTAATGACTTTTTTTCCCTCTAAACAGATACTTTCTTCTAAATAGATACTAGGTTGACTAGTATTCCATTTGTCAACCAAAGTAAACTTTGGCGTAACAATAATAAATTGAAATGAGAATATCTGACAAAAATATAATGTATATATCGATAGAAATGAATTTCACTTATTTTATTTGCCCCATCATTATAGGTCACCTCAAAATATGTTTAGATGATGTCTAGTTTAATGAACTGACTATTCATTTAGAAAGGAAAAGCCAGCAATTTCCAAGCCATAAATCATTGTCAAATATATATTTCTTTGACAATTTATAATAGTGTTATAAAATACTACCTCTTGCAACACAAAATACTTGGATAGTATAATAATTCACTTCTAGTTGGTATTTAGTTGGCATTGGAAAATGGAACGCAAATCCAAATTCTTGAACCTTCTCATGACATTGCCAACATACCCCTCTCCCTGCCTCTGCCAGAACAAAACAACAAAACGATCCATTTTTGACTGTTGGTTAAAGAACTGTTCACCAGTTGGTGAAGATTTACTGTCGTTCCAGTTTCTATCAAGAAACCATGTCAACATTTCTTTTTTTTTTTTTAAACAGCAGGTTCTTATGAGTCATCAGTTTTATCCACATCAGTGTGTACATGTCAATCCCAGTCGCCCAATTCATCACACCCCTACCTCCACCCCCGGCCGCTTTCCACCCTTGGTGTCCATAACGTTTGTTCTCTACATCTGTGTCTCAATTTCTGCCCTGCAAACTGGTTCATCTGTACCATTTTTCTAGGTTCCACATATATGCGTTAATATACGATATTTGTTCTTCTCTTCTGACTTACTTCACTCTGTATGACAGTCTCTAGATCCATCCACGTCTCTACAGATGACCCAATTTCGTTCCTTTTTATGGCTGAGTAATATTCCATTGTGTATATGTATCACAACTTCTTTATCCATTCGTCTGTCGATGGGCATTTAGGTTGCTTCCATGACCTGGCTATTGTAAATAGTGCTGCAGTGAACATTAGGGTGCATGTGTCTTTTTGAATTATGGTTTTCTCTGGGTATATGCCCAGTAGTGGGATTGCTGGATCATATGGTAATTCTATTTTTAGTTTTTTAAGGAACCTCCATACTCTTCTCCATAGTGGCCGTATCAATTTACATTCCCGCCAACAGTGCAAGAGGGTTCCCTTTTCTCCACACCCTCTCCAGCATTTGTTGTTTGTAGATTTTCTGATGATGCCTATTCTAACTGGTGTGAGGTGATACCTCATTGTACTTTGGATTTGCATTTCTCTAATAATTATTGATGTTGAGCAGCTTTTCATGTGCTTCTTGGCCATCTATATGTCTTCTTTGTAGAAATGTCTATTTAGGTCTTCTGCCCATTTTTGGACGGGGTTGTTTGTTTCTTTATTATTGAGCTGCATGAGATGTTTCTATATTTTGGAGATTAATCCTTTGTCCACTGATTCATTTGCAAATATTTTCTCCCATTCTCAGGGTTGTCTTTTTGTCTTGTTTATGGTTTCCTTTGCTGTGCAAAAGCTTTTAAGTTTCATTAGGTCCCATTTGTTTATTTTTGTTTTTATTTCCATTACTCTAGGAGGTGGATAATAAAGATCTTGCTGTGATTTATGTCAAAGGGTGTTCTTCCTATGTTTTCCTCTAAGATTTTATAGTGTCCGGTCTTACATTTGGGTCTTGCATCCATTTTGAGTTTATTTTTGTGTATGGTGTTAGGGAGTGTTCTAATTTCATTCTTTTACATGCAGCTGTCCAGTTTGCCCAGCACCACTTATTGAACAGACTCTCTTTTCTCCATTGTATATCTTTGCCTCCTTTGTCATAGATTAGTTGACCATAGGTGCATAGGTTTATCTCTGGGCTTTCTATCTTGTTCCATTGATCTATATTTCTGTTTTTGTGCCAGTACCATATTGTCTTGATTACTGTAGCTTTGTAGTATAGTCTGAAGTCAGGGAGTCTGATTCCTCCAGCTCTGCTTTTTTCCCTCAAGACTGCTTTGGCTATTCAGGGTCTTTTGTGACTCCATACAAATTTTAAGATTTTTTTTGTTCTAGTTCTGCAAAAAAATGCCATTGGTAATTTGATAGGGATTGCATTGAATCTGTAGATTGCTTTGGGTGGTATAGTCATTTTTACAATATTGATTCTTCCAATCCAAGAACATGGTATATCTCTCCATCTGTTGGTATCATCTTTCATTTCTTTCATCAGTGGCTTATAGTCTTCTGCATACAGGTCTTTTGTCTCCCTAGGTAGGTTTATTCCTAGGTACTTTATTCTTTTTGTTCCAGTGGTAAATGGGAGTGTTTCTTTAATTTCTCTTTCAGATTTTTCATCATTAGTGTATAGGAATGCAAGAGATTTCTGTGCATTAATTTTGTATCCTTCAACTTTACCAAATTCATTGACTAGCTCTACTAGTTTTCTGGTGGCATCCTGAGGATTCTCTGTGTATAGTATCATGTCATCTGCAAACAGTGACAGTTTTACTTCATCTCTTCCAATTTGTATTCCTTTTATTTCTTTTTCTTCTCTGATTGGCGTTGCTAGGACTTCCAAAACTATGTTGACTAATAATGATGAGATGGACACCCTTGTCTTGTTCCTGGTCTTAGAGGAAATGCTTTCAGTTTTTCACATTGAGAATGATGTTTGCTGTGGGTTTGTCATATATGGCCTTTATTATGTTGAGGTAGGTTCCCTCTATGCCCACTTTCTGGAGAATTTTTATCATAAATGGGTGTTGAATTTTGTCAAAAGCTTTTTCTGCATCTATTGAGATGATCATACGGTTTTTCTTCTTCAATTTGTTAATATGGTGTATCACATTGATTGATTTGTGTATATTGAAGAATCCTTGCATCCCTGGGTTAAATGCCACTTGATCATGGTGTATGATCCTTTTAATGTGTTGTTGGATTCTGTTTGCTAGTATTTTGTTGAGGATTTTTGCATCTATATTCATCACTGATATTGGTCTGTAATTTTCTTTTTTTGTAGTATCTTTGTCTGGTTTTGGTATCAGGGTGATGGTGGCCTCATAGAATGAGTTTGGGAGTGTTCCTTCCTCTGGCATTTTTTGGAAGAGTTTGAGAAGGAGGGATGTGAGCTCTTCTCTAAATGTTTGATAGAATTCACCTGTGAAGCCAATCTGGTCCTGGACTTTTGTTTGTTGGAAGATTTTTAATCACAGTTTCAATTTCATTACTTGTGATTGGTCTGTTCATATTTTCTGTTTCTTCC